GTATTTTATTCATTCTTATATTTGAGAGGATTGTAAAAAAAAACAGTGTTCCGTTGCACTTGTATTTACGAAAATATTTAAACAAATTGCTCAAGCAGTCTGTGGTTTCTATTAACACCACAGTTCTGCAACACCTTATACGAATGCCCAAGGAGAACAGAAAAGTTAAAATGATATCAATTTGATGTTATATAAGTTTACGTCATTTTTTATATTTTGAAATCTCGATCTCAGATGACTTAAAAATGAATTATATTGATAACTCCTGTTTTATTGTGTCTCTTTTACTTTTATAAAATAAAGTATACCTCTTGGCTGTATATATGCTTATTATTATGAAAATATATGGTTGCATATATGCTTATTATTATGAAAATGTATGATCTAAAAAAATCAGAGTTCGATTATTTAGATATTCAAAAGAATTGATCTGACTTGCTAATCAAAATAGTATAAAATTTTGAGTTTTTCCTAAGATTTGCATTTTAAATTTGTGTCTTAATTTATTTTTCTCATTTTCAGTTATAATTGGCAAATATCATTTTTCCCTTTAATATAATGATGATATTCATTATTAAAAATATTATTAATTTATTTTAATGTGCAGTGTACTTTATTTTTCCAAAGTACGAAATAAATAATTGTCAGAAGTTTTGCTCAACTCTATTGCCTGTAACAATATCGTTGCGTATATAATTAAAATCTTTGATATTTGTGCTACATCTGTTCTTTATAGTTGTACTAAGTTGTACTATTTGTACTTAAAGTAAAATAGAGTGATATTTGATACTCTTAGTGGAAACGCGAGAAGAAAATAGAAAGATTACAATATTTATTACGTCCACATGTTAGGTCCGACAGTATCTCCGAGCTTTTAGCTGAACAAGAATATAAACAAATTCTTAGTACTAAGTGGCATCGAACAAACATTGATAAAAACTATTATTTTGTTGAAGAAAATTATGTTATTTGTTGAAAAAAACTACCTACAAAACACATGTTTACAAGATGTTTTGAAGACATACTTATGTAAGACGTCTTTATAACATTACGAAAAATTGTTTAAAAGACATTTTATTTTAAATGCCTTTAAGACGTTACTCAAAAGACGTCTTAAAGGCGTTACGTCTGAAATAAAATATCTTTAAAACATTTTCAAAAAACATCTTAAAGACGCCTTAAAATAATGCCTTTAAAACAGCTTAAAAATATCATAAAGACGTGTCTGACAACATTCTGAGACGACTGAAAAATTTTAAGACGTCTTTTAGATGTCTTTAAGACGTCATATTGTTATGTGGATATTATTTAAAAGTATAGTAAGGATAGTATTTTTAAGATTTCAAAAGTTGTTTTAAGATTTAATAATGCAATTTACTTGATTTGAATTTTTTAGATTTTAAACTATTTTTATTTAGATTAACCATTATAATATTCCGTTAAAAATCTAAAAACAATTATGGAATAGTTAGTTTGTAACATACGCATTCCCAAATGTCTAAAACAAATGTCTAAAATACATTTTGGAGACATCTTAGAAATATCTGCAGAAAATAATTGCTTAAGGAGGCAATACCGTTTCTCTGGTAAAAAAAAATCGATTTTGCTTTTTTTACATTTTATTAAACTATGTATTTTTAAGATTTCTATTCCTACTTATTGCATCAAAAAATTTGAAAAATTGCGTAAATTGTAGCCTATTATTCGAAGCGGCGCGCAGATCAAATCCGGTGCTCACCGAGCCGTTTAAAATTTCGTCAGATATATGCGGTCCACGAAGGTCCTATAAATCCTAGATAACAAAAGAACGACTCGGATGAGTTTGCTCTATGAGTCTCGAATCGCTGATTAGGTTGAAACTTACGTAAGTACTAGAAATATAAGCTTAAATAGTACCCAAAACTTTAAACGCGTTTTTTTTAAGACGATTTTTCTCTAACTGGCGCGCACGATTTGAAACAAATTGCTGAACCGATCGACTTCTGCCTATAGCTATATATTCAAAACATATGCTATTTTCGTCCGAACCAGCGAAATTAAAATATATTAACTTTTCCTATTTATTTTCAATGAAAAACTGTCGATTTTTAAAATTGTGATTTTTTAGGCATTTTTTTCAAATATCTACAACTTGTTGAAAAACGATCCGTTTTCAATATCCCTAGTTCCAGCGATAACTAAATGTCCCTAGTTTAATAATCTTTTTGGCTTTCTTGTTTCAGATTAACGAGTCATGAGATATCATGCGCGCTATGGAGTAAAAACTGTTCATTTCAGTTTCACGTGTTTTTCAATAACTTTTATATTTCGCAGCGTACATACTTATAAAAATTTTGACATATAAATAAAATATGTAGTATTTAGCGTACCGAATTTCAAAATAATCGGTCGCATAGTTTTCGAGAAAAAAATTCGCAAATATAGCCTCCTTTTTTGGCCGAGAAATAGTATTGCTCCCTTAACTTTGATAATCAAGCGACACGTGGTAATCCTAATGCTTCGACGATATTTTTATGACTTGTACAATATATCCTTATAGTGTTCACAATACATTATAACATATTTAGTGACAAGTATTGAAATGACGCAACATTATTCGACATGTGACAAATATTGATATAATATATATTACTATATCAGTGATTCCATGATTTTTTAATAACATATTATAATGATTAATCCAAACAAAAAAAGTTTAAAACAAATTCTAAGAAATTTAAATCAAATAAATCGGATTACCAAATCTAGAAAAACTTTTAAAAAATATTATTTTAAATAATAGTGTTTTTTTTTTTATCAAATAACATTTTTTTCCAACAAAATAATAGTTTTTATTTTAAAAATAATGTTTCGTATAAGAATATCATATTTTAATGAAATAAACCAAAATCAAACAATTAAAAATGGGATAGCTTTTAGATGTCTCCAGATTGTCTTTTAGAAATTTGTACTCTCAATATTCGTCGCATATCGAATATTGTTTCAATATCTGTCAATAAATGTGCTGTAAAAGCACATTATAATATGCTGTAAAAGCTGTAAAGATACGTTATACTATAAACATAAGTTGTGACAAAATATCGTCAGAAATTATCACGCATTTGGATTATCACGCGCCGCTCGATCGTTAAAGTCAAACTTCGCATGTAGTTAGTGACCATATAACTTTTCAATCGTAATCGAAGCTACTATTATGATCGGTATTCATAGTCGGATCTTTAAGACCGTTTAAGTTTATCTTCAGATTATTTCATTAGCTACAGAATATCTGAAGATGAACTTAAAATGGTCTTAAATATAAAATCCGACTATGAATATCGTCCTAAAAGGATATGCGAATGTTTGGTGTGCATGTGAGAATATAATCTTTAATTTATACAGTAGTTGCGAGATATGAGAAAATTGGAAATAATTTTTTTTTATAAAACATTAAATAAATTTCTTTTTTAAAACATTTAACATTTCACTGTAACGTTGTTATAACATTATACTGCAATGTTTTTGAGAGTAGATATTTTAATTTTACTTTAAACAACAATGTACAACAATGTTGCAGCGGCATTTCGTAAAGCCCGAAGACTAGCGATTGCCAATTGGCGATTAGTGATTAACTAATCAGAAGAACACAATCAATAGCAACTTCGCTTTAATTGCCGTGTATACTGATCTCTGTTTAGAAAGAAGGGCTCTTATTGGATATCGCTTATCGCGTCTGGCAACAGGTATTAAGTATAAAAGTATTAAAAAAATAAGCCACGCGAACAAATTTAATATATCTACGCAACGTCTTTGCAATTTTTCTGTACTATACGGGGATGTCAAGAAAGCATCGAAATTTTACGTAATTTAACGTCATTTTGAAATTTCTGTTCTACTTGGATGTATACGCTTGGCAAGATATAAGCATCATAAATATTGCAAGATTATAGCCTTGGACTTTCCTCGTATTATCGATAGCAGTATTAACATTATTTATGTTTAGATTGAAAAGTTTCATAACTATTATATATATATATATATATATATATTAGGACCTTAACTTAGTTTCCGCCCGCAAATGTTAGATGGCAATGCAAACAGTTCTAGTAGTCATTGCTAACGAAACAGGTAGTTTGTGATTAATTTCGACATTTCTCGATAACATTCAGTCAGCATACACAATTATTTTCCTAAACAACAATTTCTTTTGCTTTGTGAAAAATGGAACGCGATAAAGTGTTTTTTCGACATGTGCTTTTGCACTATTTTGATTTGAAAAAAAGTGTAGCAGAAGTTCATCGATTACTTGAAGAAGGTTATGGTGATCGAGCTCCATCACATACAACATGTAAAGAGTGGTATAGACGATTCAAAA